CACAGGTTTTAAAAAAAAAAAAAAAAAAAAAAAAAAAAAAGAGGGGAACCCACCAATGCATGAAAATCACATTCCTTCCCCACCCCTTTGAGGCTCCATCCTCTCTGTTCCCCTCCTCTCTATCACTTGCTATCCCCAGCCCTTATACACTCTCACTGAGTTGAGACAGGAGACCTGGGGCTCAGGGGTGGGAATGAGGGATTTGGGTATGGGCGGGGTGAGAACTGCAAGCTCTGGGAGGGAATTTGGATGCAGAAGGGCACGCTGGCTTGAGGAGGGGGCTCCAGGATGGGAAGTGTTGGACTCAGGTGAAGGGTTGGGGTGCCAAGCAAGTCACAGGCTTGTGGATGTGAGGGTACAGGAATTTGGGTTGGATATGTGAGGGGCTCAGAGTAAGGAGGCTGTGAGTATGATGGGCTCAGGACACAGATCTGCGATGTGTGGATGGTGCAGGAGTGTTGGGACAGAAGAGTGAGGATGTGGGGATGCAGGATTGTGGGGATGTAAGAGGCTCAGGACAGGGGGTTCCAGTGTATGATAGGCTCAGATTTGGGGTCAGGTGGTGCAAGAGTGTTATGATGCTGCAGTGAGATGGGGATTTGGCCCCAACTGGGGGCATGTTGGCCAGGCTCCATTTTCAAATAAAATATTATGTCAAACTCAAAAGGTTTTAGCATTGCCTTAATGAGAGGGGTGGGAAACCTGTTTTGAGTCAAGGGTCACTGTTCCACAGAAAAGTCAATTGGGGCCACACAAGTGAGATAAAAAAAAATCCTCTACAAAACCCCCTAGCCTCACTAACATGGTCCCAACTGTGCTGGTGGAGGCAGAGTGCTAGTGGGTGCTGCGGCCAGGGAGAGTGTGCTGCTGAGTGGCAGGATGCTGGCACAGGTGACAGGGTGCTGGGGTCAGTGACATGGTCCTGCTGGGCACTGGGGTGGGTGGTAGGGTGCTGGACAAAGAACAGGGTGCTGCTGGGTGCTAGGATGGGTGGCAGGGTGCTGGGGCCAGGGACAGGGTGCTGCTGGGTGCTAGTGTGGATGGCAGCATACTGGGATTGGGGACAGGGTGCTGCTGGGTGCTAGGGTGGATGGCAGGGTGCTGGGGCCGGGGACTGCGGTGGATGTCAAGGTGCTGGGGCTAGGGACAGGGAGATGCAAGTGCTAGGGTGGATGACAGGGTCCTGGGATGGGTGGCAGTGCTGGGGCTGGTGACAAGGTGCTAGGCACAGTGTTGAATGGGGGGGGGGGGTGCAGCTGGAACCAGTACCTGGCAATTCTGCAGCACCTCTGGGTTCCAGGAAGTGTGTGACTACATTTCCCCTCCCCAAACAGCTGGTGTGCACGCTGCCTGAACAGCAGGGGCTGTTGCACTCCAGCAACTTACTTCCATGATGCCATCCTGCAGGGAGGTAGGAGGGGAGTCCCAGGGCAGAAAGCGCTGCCTGCACAGTTGGAACTGCACAGACCTGGGTCTCCTGATCCCCCTCCCGCAACCGCGCAGAAAGGCCACGGAATTACATTACCAGGTGCCACAGCCATTCAGGCAGTGCGTGCCGGTTCCTTTGGGGAGGGGAAGTGCTTCCCTCCCCGCTGTGGGTCATGTGGGGTCACCCCTTTTTGGCACCCCCCCCCAGTGTGCCAGCTGGGAGCAACTGTTCCATTCTGCCCCCGCCTTGCTATGCCTCTGCATCACCAGGGAGGAAGGGGAAACAAGTGTGCTGCTTCTTTAAGAAAGCTGGTAGCTGGCTCACTCTCTCTCTCTGTTAGAGGGGGTGGGGAAGTACTGGCTCCTGGCAGAACCCCTACTTTCACTTTGCTGAACACCAATTGGGAAACGACGATAAGCAAATGCTTAGCAGATAGTCAACAAGCTTGACAACTAGTCGCTCCCTGCCCCCTTTGCTGCCTCTATCAGAAAGAGGTAGGGGGGAGGGGTACTTCAAAGCAGCAGCACCCTGTGGAGCAGCTTTCAAATGCCACTGCAGGATCCCAGCATCAGGCTTCTCCCAGCTTTGAAATGCTGTGAGGAGCCTGACTCCAGGCTCCCACCACAATGTTTCAAAGTGGCAGCGCTGCTTGGAGCCTGGGCTCAGCTCAGTACTCCCCAGCTGACCCTGGGCTCCATGTGGAGCTTTCGCCTTTAAAGTGCAGCAAGGGCCCTACGGCTGTTTCTACACTTCAAAGGCAGAGACACCTTATGGACAGTCAAATAGTTGATACTTTAACAAAACAATAAATAAACTTCACATCCGACTGTCCCTGCTCCTCGTGCCCTGCTGCAGCTCGGAGCCAGGAACTCCGACTCCATTACCCGGCTGAGCCACCCGGCAGCAGTGACAGTGGCTCAGGCCCGGGTGTCAACACCTGACTCCCGCGGAGTGTCAGCGGCCGGCCCAGGCGCCTCTAGCGTCTCGCGCGAGTGTCATGACGCGCAGCGCTGGGCGCGGTTACTGGTCCCGTCCCCGCCCCGGCAGGAGGGAGAGCTCGTCAGGCCCGGGACCGCGCAGCCATGATGGGACGGGGCCCGAGGCCC